ATTCTTAAAGAATGCCTAAAACACTTTAAAAAAAGTTTTCCTAACTAAACAAGCCATGGAGTCCTCTTTTAAAAGCAAAACATGGGATGGGTCGTCTAAACCAAACTGAAAACGCAACCCAAATTCCGGCCCGAATCAATCATTGCCGGTTACCGTTTTTCTCCGGACTTGAATTTCTCTCTTCCCCATTTGTCCGTCAAATTAGATTTCTCAAAAATAAAAAAAACCCTAAAATTCTCACCAAGAAAAAAATTTCTCTTTGATTTTCTCAAGTAAAATAAAGCGAAAATGGTTCTAGCACAATTAGGAGGGAGCATCTCCCGGGCGATACAGCAGATGAGCAATGCGACGATAATCGACGAGAAGGTTTTAAACGAATGCCTTAACGAAATCACGAGAGCTCTTCTTCAATCCGATGTTCAATTCAAGCTCGTTCGTGATATGCAAACTAATATTAAGAAGATAGTTAATCTCGATGATCTAGCCGCCGGTCATAACAAGCGCAAAATCATTCAACAGGTATTTCAGTTCGAAAAATAAATTTTGCTTTTTTTTATTTTTTTCTTCGAATTGAGAACTTATGTGAAGTTCAACTATGATTGAGGGTTTTTAGTCGTAGTATTTTGAATTATTTAATGAAATTGTAAGTAAAAAAAAATGAATTATTTGATAAACTTAGAGAATTTCCTTATTTATAATTTCGTGATCTTGTTATGTATCTTAATTCGATGCTAAAATTAATTAGATTTGTTAAAGTTCTGAGTTTTTTTCGTCCATTTTTAATCCAAAAATTTGATAACATTTGATTTAATGGCTTTCTGCTGGTTTCTTTGATGTGAAAATTTTTATGTAATTGGAAAACTTTAATCTACCATTTTACAAAAGGAAAAAGTTTGATTCATGCTTTACTTGTATTAGAATAATATTTCGTTTTTAAAAAAGTGTTTGTTTTTAATTGTAGGCAATTTTTAATGAGCTTTGTAAGATGTTGGATCCGGGTAAGCCGTCATTCACTCCAAAGAAAGGGAAAACAAGTGTTGTGATGTTCGTCGGTTTACAAGGTAAGTTATGCTTTTACATGTTCATGTGGATTGAGTTTTGGTATAATTGGTACTGAGAACTGCCTTTGCCCATTGTTCTGAAATTCGTTGCTATGTTTCAAATGTTTTGCTTGGTTAACATTGAATAGAAGACCTGAATTTCTGTTGATATTTGTTTGTGAAATCTTTCAGGGTCTGGAAAAACAACAACTTGTACAAAATATGCATATTATCATCAGAAAAAAGGTTGGAAACCAGCTCTAGTCTGTGCTGATACATTTAGAGCTGGTGCTTTTGATCAGTTGAAGCAGAACGCCACCAAAGCTAAGATTCCATTTTATGGAAGGTATTTTTTATTCATTGTTGTGGCTGCATATGGAAATATGGAATCTGGATTGACGGTTTGTTCACATAATGGTAGTTCTTTGTTTGAAGCACTTGTAATTCTTAGAATGGGATGTGAAAAAGAGAATAATATTGACTCTAGGTTTTTTTCATCAATGACATGAAGCATGTAGCTAATTATTATAACTTTTTTATTGCAGAAAGGGCATAGGAGGGGTGCATGAAAATACTCACATGATATGTATTTAGCAAGTTTGCTTCTCTGTATCTTGAATGAGTAACATATGTCTGTGCACATTTCTATGTATTCTCATTCTGTATGCGAATACATGTGCCTGACATGCATGAAATGCCCTTTATGCATGAAATGCCCTTTATGCATTCCACCTTGTTAGATTGAAATGACTGATATTCATTTAATTTTTGAGAATATATACTATTGATTTCGTAGTTGTGATTCTTGCTGTGGATTTTAACTCCAGAGAATATCTTAGTAGTTTAACCATCACTTCAATTTTCCCTTAATTATTTCAAATAATGTCTTCTGCTTTATCTACAGCTATATGGAGTCAGATCCCGTGAAAATTGCCGTGGAAGGTGTGGAGAGATTTAAGAAGGAAAATTGTGATCTTATAATTGTTGATACCAGTGGACGCCATAAACAGGAGGCTGCACTGTTTGAGGAAATGCGTCAAGTCTCTGAAGCAACGGTATTTTCCTGATTTTATATGCACATTTTGTTTCAGGATAATTTCTTCTAATCATCCCACTAATTATTTTTGCTTCTTTTATATGTTCCAGAAACCAGATCTTGTTATTTTTGTTATGGATAGTAGTATAGGTCAAGCAGCCTTTGATCAAGCTCAAGCATTTAAACAAAGTGTTGCAGTAGGTGCCGTAATTGTTACCAAAATGGATGGTCATGCAAAAGGTGGTGGCGCTCTCAGTGCGTAAGTGTTGTGATTGTTGTTGCCTTTATTTGCTGTACCTGCTAAGCTAGTCTTTGCATTTGCTTTATCATTAGGTTGAGTTCTTATGATATGTGTGTTTTTTTTTACTTATCCTTCTGTGTTTTCTATCAGGGTTGCTGCAACTAAGAGTCCTGTCATATTTATAGGGACTGGAGAGCACATGGATGAGTTCGAAGTGTTTGATGTTAAACCATTTGTAAGCCGCCTTTTAGGTATGCATCTCCTTTTCCTGTTATCTATTCTTCTAACCATAGAAATTATGATTTCCAAAATGGTGATGATTGTTGGAAACATTATCATGGTGCTTATCTTTCTGAATAGGCATGGGTGACTGGTCTGGATTCATGGACAAAATTCAGGAAGTTGTTCCTATGGATCAACAACCTGAGCTTCTCCAAAAGCTTTCAGAAGGGAACTTTACCTTAAGGATTATGTATGAGCAATTTCAGAACATACTAAAAATGGGTCCAATTGGGCAGGTTATTGTTAACTACTCTCTCTGATTGTTCATCAGTATTCTGCTGCATTTTACTTTTAGTAAAGTTGAAGTAGGGTTTTTTGCTTTAATGGGTGTGCCTGTTACTGATTTTGCCATGTTGCATGCAACTTATGGCATGTTCATGTATTTGAAAGATGATGAGGGAATGCTTGTTTCAGTGGTTTACAGATGTCTTACATTTTAGATGTATTGATAAAAATTTTCCTTTGTGAAAACTTCTAATTTCTATGCTTGTTCAATCTCAGACATTTTCACAATTTTTTCCATTTTCTGTAAAGTATTTTACTCAAACTAACTAGTAAATTATAGTAAATCTTTTGGCAAGTTTGATAAACGGTCTTATTGCTCCATAGGTGACTTCCTAGTTTAAACTAATCATTTTGTGGAAGAGAAATAGATATTAACTCTTTGGTAATACGGGATAAGATGTTTGTATGATAATTAGAATGAGCTTGGATGTAAAACCAGCACACTCCTAACATATAAAACTATTTGAAGGGTGGAAATCCCCTTCATGTTGCAAGATCTTAGTTAGTTCCTTCATAAAGAAACTGCTGCCACGTAATTGATCTGGTATGCACTTGTACGGTCTGAGGTAAAAGAGAGAAGTAGTCTCCCTGAAAAAATACGTATAAACAAGTTCTTATTGTTCCTAGCCTGTTTCCTAGTGTTGAGAAAATATCAATGTTGTTGTGGTGAAGTCTCTGCTTTCCTGTTGTGTAAATACTTTCTGCATTTATATTGTTTTTTGTATTTTCAATTTTCAAGTCAAAAATAAAATTGTAATACCTAAAATGCATTAAGGATACACGCTTATCATCAGGCATTGACTTGCTTGGTTACTAGTTTAAGGATTTACATTAAGGGCTCATAGTTTAATGTATAAGCTTTTGGATAGTAATTCTCTCCCCCACCCAATGCCCCCCTCCCGCCATCCTCCAAATTCCATTTTTTGTCACTCATTTTTCCTCTCTCTTTTCCTTTTTGTTAATGCAGTTGAGTAATTGATTTGCATGGTAGGAGACTACAACTTTAGGCTAACAATGATTTTGGTTGCTTTCTGCAGGTTTTCTCAATGCTCCCAGGATTTAGTGCTGAATTAATGCCAAAAGGTCGTGAAAAAGAAAGCCAGGCAAAGATCAAGCGCTACATGACCGTGATGGACTCAATGACGAATGAAGGCAAGTAAATGCTCTGCTTTATTTATAATCTCGAGACAAGTATTTGCTGAAAGTATAGCATTTTAATAGGATCACTACCTTTTTTATTGTGTTGATTGTAAATGTGCTGCAGAGTTAGATAGTTCAAATCCAAAGCTGATGAATGAGTCAAGGATGATGCGTATAGCACGGGGATCCGGTCGTCATATTCGAGAGGTAATGGAAATGATGGAGGAGTACAAGCGGCTTGCCAAGATATGGAGCAAGATGAAGGGGCTTAAAATTCCAAAGAAGGGTGACATGAGTGCCTTGTCGCGCAACATGAATGCACAGCACATGAGCAAGGTCCTCCCTCCACAGATGCTAAAGCAGATTGGGGGTATGGGAGGCTTGCAGAACTTGATGAAGCAAATGGGTTCTGCCAAAGACATGATGGGTATGTTTGGAGGTGGGGACAAGTAATTTTATACTCTGACTAGTGAAGACCGAAAGCATTTGTATCCCCCGACAAGTCCTTTAGCGAACTGTATTTTTCAGAGATTTTATTTCTTGCAGGCTAATGCACTTTGATTTTGAATTTTTTTTTTTTCATTTCTAATTTTATTTCAACAATTTAGAATCAAAAGTTTTTTTCTCTTATTGTATGTATTTAGATTTTTAAAAAAAGAGCTGCAAGGCAAATGTGCTGTATTCAGAAACAAATATGAATTCACATTCGTCATATTTACAAGAATTTGCTCAGAACAGTCTTTCTGAGATGGGTCTCTTCTTCTTCATCATCTTCATCAGACTTAACATATGTGTTGAGAGCATAACGTATTACTGAGTTCACCTGCTTCCTTAATCTTGCGTTATCGACAAAAATATCTGTTACAATCTTCCTTAACTCATCGTCGGTTCTTTTATCACTGCCTTTCATGTCGTGGCTCTCATCCAATCTAGCCAAACAATTTTCTACATCTTGCGCAAGGAGTTGTGCCTATCCATGCGTAAATAAGTCAGCACTAAAATACTGTTTGATTTCAAAGAATTCGAGGATGCGGCTATAGAGAAGAATATACACGTCAACATGCAAACCAATTCATGAAGGGATTCAAAGAAGTACAAATAAACTGTACAAACTTAGCTGGTGAGACGATCACACTAGACAGTTTATGAAAGAAGAAGATAGTGATTGCACCACAAAAAGAAAACAAAAAGCATTACTATTTGATAGAAAACACTGAAATTGACACATCCCCATAGTTACGGTACTAAGAGTGCAATCCCAATCCCCATCCCCACCCCCTTTTTTATGAAAAATCATTCCACCACCTTCTGAGCAGATCCAATTCAAAACAAGCCAAACTTTTTTGTATCTTGAAAGTTAAATGGCTCCTTTAAGTCCTAATTCTACACCTGTAACCAAGAAATTCTTTTCTTCTATTTAACTGTGGCTTGATACTTGAGGTTGCCAAAATTTGATCTCTGGTCACTAGAACTAAAAGTCCGGCACCATACCAACAGACCAAACAGCTGTTGGCAACTGTGGCTGTATTTTATAAAGCAAGAATTCAGAACCATAAAAAGGGATAGCTACTGGTTTAATTGCTTCAAACAATGCATCTCGTGTACAACATATACATCACTACTTTAATACAGTATACATACAGATATAATGAAGTGCGCATTCACATACACATACACTCATGCCAGTTAGAAAGCAATTTTGTAACTATCATAATAAGGGGCAATTTTCAAAAGCTTTAATAAATAGTCGCTGCAAATGCCAAAACTTTCAGAGAGAATGGGTTTCAAGAGTATGTTAATACAAAGAGTTCATAAAATTGAATGTGGGTGCAAAGGGTACCTCAGCAAGAAGTAGACTGATTCGGTTATCAGAAGTTGTCAAGAGATCTAGAGCATCAGATGGGGATGAAGTATCAACAATCAATTTGTCTTCCTCCTCACTAAGGAAATTAACACTACATTCTTGAAGCCGATCACGAAGAAGATTACATTCATGAAGCAGTTTCGTATTTGCAGCATTGGCATGCTCCATCTTTTGCTTTTCCTTCTGCAGAACCCTCTGAAAATTGCACATTGAATAACAGAATGAGAAATTTGTCTGTTAAAAAAATCAAACCTATAGTTTCGAGAAGGAAGAAACCATGGATTACCTCCAATTCTAGTTTTTCTTTCATCACACGGCTAAGCTCTTGCTTCAATTCGGATTGAGAAGTTCGAAGAGATTTCACCTCCTTAACAAGGAGCTTTACATCTGCTTTTGATTTCACCTCTAACTCCTCATGATGTTTGTGCAAGTCCACAAGTTTTTCTCTAGCAACATCTAACTCTTCCAGCAACATTTTGTTTTCCTTCATGATTAACAAATTTGCTGACTCAACAAGTGCCTTTTCATCCTGGAATATTTTAGCAGTTACTAGTTAAAGCTTATCATTAATTGAATAAAACTGTTAAAATAAGGAAATGTTAAGAACACAAAAAGAAACCTGTTCAGTCTTTAACTTCAATTCCATCTCCAAACACTGCTTTCGAAGTTCCTCTACATCCCACTGCATTTGAGTAAATCTTTCTCTTTCAAGCAAAACTGCTTGCTGCATGTTTTCATCACAATTCTCTCTAGTGGTTTCAAGTTCCACTTCCAAATCCTTGACCTGAAAGAGAAAATCCTATCAAGTCAGTCACATAGACGATGCTAATCAAAATATAATTATGCTTCATTACGTATCTTAAGACAGCCCTTTTTCCTACGTACAAAACATATAACCCCTATCCAAGCAGAATGGAGAGAAAACATACATGCACAAACCTAAATGGTTTGAGATTAAGGCTTATCAAGTTGAGTTGAGCACAGTTCAGTTTCCACACAATTAATGCCATTATCATATAAACATAAACCACAGCATCCAAGTTCCTAATGATATTGAAGCTGTAAAGAAAGGTTTTCCAAGTAACCATTTCTAATTCTTAAAAGTGTGTGAACTATTAAACTGCCTTCCCAAGTCCATAAATCTGACAAATCAATTTTAGCCTAATATTCGGTTTATAAGGAATCCAATTTAAAATCTTCTAATCCTCTCCAAGTATTAATATAATCCCAGTCTACTTACTCACAGCAGTTAGTTTTCTGGCCTTCAAAACCCAATTTTAGTGTAATGATTACCCATACTGAGCTTCAACAATTAGTCTTCTACAGTTTATCTTGTGAAATTATTTTATACGCCAGAAATGGCCTACATTTCAGACAAGCAATGTTTTATTTGTTCAGGTTAACTCCATGGTAATAACACCGCCAAAGCCTAATTCAAGTACCCCAGAAGCAAATGTTCACTGAATTAGTTGCCTCTTCCAATTAAGGACTTATTCTTTGGACAAAGCCAAAATATCCATTATATTATGTTTTGGAATCACAAATGAATGTTCTTCACATGCCCTTCCTTGCGAAAAATTAAATATGCAAATAATTAAGTCTTTTTGGGCTAGAAGGAATTGACTAGTAGAACATGGGATGTTCTGCAAAAGGTAATGTAATGAGACCCTACACTTTTAGCATTTCCACACCACATGTTCTCTCACAAGAAATTTATCAAATATCAAACAAATACTAGATAGGAAGTTTGAGCACAATGTCCACTTTCCAAAGATCAAAAACATAAAAGATAAGCCTCACCAAGTACTCACCAAACAATGTCAAGATCACAGATCATAAAAGCTACCATCTCTTTCTTTCATATATTTCGTGGACTAACATCATACTCCTAAAGAAAGTTTGTTTCAGCAAATTGAAAAGTTAAGGATCGGACTGCCACATATTTAAACAAAGAAAATCCAAGTTCAAAACAATAAGAAGCAATATAAGATCCCTAGTCTTCATAGGTCAGCTTTTAGGCATTTGAAAGGAATAAAATTAAAGATTTAAAGATTGTCAGCCAATGCAAGATCTACAAACTAAACAATACAATTAAATTACTATAATGGACACTGGCAGATCAGAAAATGAAATAAGTTGGGATAAAGTTGAAAATCCAAAGCAAAAGCAAATATACCAAAAAGCATAGAAAAATGAATGAGTAATACACATTTCCTTAAAAAACCAATCACAGAAATAGAATTGCATTCAAAGGGCTTCTACATTCTAACTATAGTTGAAAATACCTTAGTTGCGAGGAATTGCCTAACAGCAACTTCTTGATTCAACCTAGCTATAAGATCTTCCATGTCTGTTTCTGCAGTAGCTAGTCTCCTCTGCAGCGTATTAAGAACCCTTTTTAATTTATGGCGCTCATCTGATAGGAAAAGGACAAGCAAATTTCTATGGAATTGTAAACCTGAGCTAAGAGAATCCAAGGTTTCAGGAGCTTCAGCATTTTCAGGCAGGTCAAGTAACCCATCACCAAACAAACTAGCTATCACTGAGTTTGATATTTCACTAGCTCTCACAGAACTTAAGTCACTTCCAATGCTTTCTGTTGACAATCTACGAACATGGCCATCCATTTTGCAATACTCTAGTTCAGGCAAATGCTCTGCTCCATCTCCATGAAGAAATCTACTATCAGTAGTATTTTTTGTAAGTTTATCTCCTGCAATGTTGGTTTCTCTTACAGAACGTATTTTTCGCTTGGAAAACTTTTCTAGGTTTTCTGGAATAAAGCTCTTGTTAAATATGCCATAGATCATACTTTTTTCTAAGGGTTCAACCAAATTTGGTTCAGAAGTTGAAGGTTCCATGGAAGGATCAGCAGAATTATCTTTTTCTCGCCTTGGTGTTCCAAGCTCAGATATGTCATCAGAAGAAGCATTATCATGATCAGATGCCATTGAACTAGAAATTATAGGGGAAACATCTGAGTTGGTCTTGGACAGAAATGAAGTAACCACACCACTAACAGAAGAAACAGCAACTGATTGATTTATATTGTCAAAGGCTGTAAAAAGACAAACACATTTTGATCATCGAGCAAAACTTAATATGGATTTATAGTCTAATACTAAATATAAAGACAGGCTGCAGTTCAAGGTGTAAAAAAATATTCATCCATTTACAAGAGGCATCAAGGAAAAACCTACAAGACCTCACAGCAGCTTCTAGCTCAAGAAATGTAGCCACTGAGGCGCTTCTGGAAATATCAATATCTGATAAAAGTTTTTCCATCCAATCCTCCAAAGAACACCTTCTCTGCAATAAACTAACCATTTTGAGAATATTATTATTAAAAATGTTGTATTATTCCTAAAAATATATGGAAATAAATGAAGCTCATTTCAAGCATTACCAAAAGGAGAATGCACACCACGTAATGTCAACAAAGTAACACAACTGCATGATCAGTTTTCAGATTGCCAATAGATAATGAGAAAAGGGTTATTAAAGATTGGACATAACACATTATTCATCATTCATCCAGTTCAACACGACCAATAGTTGCTTTTAGCCCAGATTGTTATGGCCTGACCCATGTATGCACAGAACACGAGATAAATGTTCAAATTTTTTAGGTTGTCTAACATAATTAATTTCTTTTACTGTGCCTGTTCAGGGAAACACATGGGAACCTATTATTTATAAAGATTCATATTGTTGCCATGGAAAATAAGCAAACATATTTTAGCTTACCTCCTCCAACAGTGTTCTGTTTTTCACCCTCAAAATCCTCTTTGGAGGAGCTGGGGGCAGATTTTTCTTGGGAAATGTCTTCTTAAGCTGCCAAACAGATGAAGAAAATGAGAGTGCACTAAACCATTTTAAGCATATGAGACAGAAAATGGCATGTTTTTCCAGCACATAAAATAGACAAATATTTTACCCCAAAAATAAAAAAGACAAACACATCTGTGAATGTTCAAGGAATATGAGAATATAAGGGCCAATAGAGCATAAGAGATACAAAGAAGATAAACACACTTTCTCAGATGATAAAACTGAAGCACCATAACTTACTTCAGTTAGTAGCTTTAAGAAATCACTAAATCTTCGTAATATTCCCCGGGTGGTAGTGACGCCTTCTGGTGATTGAATGCCAACTTGAACCCTGTAAAACTGTCCTCAATGGATGTTAAAAACGAAATAATTGATGCAACTATTCCTTAACTGGAACTTAACAACCACATCAAATAAGGAGAAAAGACACCAAAATGGTAGGGAAAAAAATCCCTATATGGAATACTTACTTCTTATCATTTTTTTTTTCATTATTAGATAAAAAAATAACATCCAAAAAAACTAATAAATAATAACATCATGTAAGTAATGCAGATGACTAAGAATTAAACCATATACATAATACCTAATATACCAAGAGAATTCTCTAACATATTTTATTTCCTTTTCTTTTTCTGGTTTCTTTTTGGTTGGTTGGGGGAGGGGACTTGTACCAAGTCCCAACTCCTAAAGTGGCTCCATTACTAATTGGATTCCTATTGGCTAGTGACCCAGTGAGCACCAACTAATGCCTCCGAATACCATAACATTCCTACACACATAATTCATGAATCTCACCTCAATCCCACTAAAATCCTCTCTAGATTGCTTCATTATCATCTTAAGTATGCCTCTCTTGTTATTTCCTAGCTAATTATTCCCACAAATAACAAAACCCCCAAAAATTGTCACCTCAGAATACTTTTAAAGAAGTAATCTTTGGGTAACAAAAATAAAGACAAGCGTTCCAAGAGAAACAAGTGATTAAAAAATTATGACACACCAGTCATATTGTGCATTCCCTTCCATCCCAATTCATGTATAAACAAACATGTTTGCAGTCTACCATGAATATTAACATATATATATTTATATTTATATTCATATTTATATTTATATATATCAATATGGTTACACAGAAAGAACAATTATCACATAAAAAATGACAACTATTATCTAATTTGAAAGAACTAAATACTCCCAAGAGAAAAAGTAGTACCACAACAGAGTCTGAACCTCCGGATGCTGGTAGAAGAATAAAAGAAGGAATTGTAACACAGTAACTCCACCCTGTATGAGGGTCATGAGGCCATACTGTGTCCTGCCCATCCTGCATTGAAACTCAAATTAAAAAATGTTATCAGTGAACATGAATCAAATTTCCAAAAAGGAATGCTACAAAAAAATAGAACATTTCATCAACCGATCACATGTTAATGACATGCTACAATGCAACCAAATGGCTGGTTGCACACCTAATCAATGCTATCCGTAGAATGAAGTGGAAAACATTTTGTGCGGGTAATATGCAATTTTATGAGGAAGCACATATTAAACAGACAGAACATCATTTTCTTAATCATTCACCCATGTTAGTATGATTCACTTTGTTCTCGGGAACATAACAATCAATTGTCAAAGAAAAGCTTAAATGACAATCAGCAAAACAAAGAGAAAGATTAGCTCTTGCGCATCAATCTTCCATATTCATGAATCGAAGCATAAAAAAAAATAGACATTCCTATAGCAAGCAGCTCGACTTGTTGTCAGTTCTCTTGTTAGTTCAATTTAAGGAACACAAGCAATTCATCAAACCAAAAAGAAAAAGATAGCGACGCCCATCAAAAGTAACCTCTTGTAATGATTCAAACTTGAACTTTTACATCTAAAACTCTCCTCCATTTGAAAGAAATATTTAATTTAGCTCAATTTAATTCAAAATTAAACCTCTAAAACAAAAGGGGAAGAGTAATAAAAGAAAAAGAAAAAAACTTTACATTGAAAACATCAAAATTCACGTGAAATGAGACGTGAAATAGAGGGAAGAGGAAATACCCATTTCCGAGGAGGTGTAGACCAGTCCATCCCCAAAGGCAACGGCGAGGTCCCGTCGTGGCGGTGCCTTGGTGGGCTCCTACAATTGGCCACCGAAGCTCTTTTATTTCTATCATCATCACCATCACCATCACCATCACCATAATCACGGCCATTAGAATCATTTTGAGGTGAGATTAAGAAATCGAATGATGACTCCTGATCGATTATTGGATTATCAGAGAAGTTAGCGAAATCAAATAAAGACAGATCGTGCGCGTAAAGATTCATCTTTTTTTTGGGTTTAGGATTTTCGGTTTCTAAATGGAATTGGGATTCCTCTGCTTTTGTTCTCCCTCTTTTTCTTTTCTTCTACGTTTCTGGGTTTGGGACAGATGGAAATTTTGGATCCTGGGAATTTCATTTTATTTATTAAAGCCTCTTCAATTTTCAAGTCTGACTAGTTTTTTACGTGTGTGATGCACGGATTTTTATTTTTCATAAAATTATTTTAATTAATTAAGTCTTTAAAATATTGTTTTTTTTATTCTAAATTTATATGTGGAAGTTATTTTAATTTTAAATCAAAATATAAAAAAAATGTATATAATTGTATTTAAAATTAGAGAAAATATTTTATTTTTATTTTTATTTTTTTCAACAATTTATATATGGTGTTTAATAATTTAAATTTAAAAGAAGATATTTAAAATTTAAATTTAATGTAAAATATATGACAAAATACGCTTATAAATATAAAAATTATTTTATGATTATTTTTAAATTTAAAGATTTGTTGAATCTATTTAGTAGGTAATTTGAAGTATTTATATGTATTTATGACGTTGAATTTTTTTATATCTTTCAAATTAAATTAATAATAAAATGTTATTAATTTGTGTATATTGCTTACATTTTATATTTACAATTTTTATAACAAATAAAATCCAAAATCACTTTCTTAAATTCACAATTTCAAATGTAAAAATACTATTTTTTTATTAGACAACCATTTATTTTAATATAAGTTATTTTAATTTTTTAAAAATTTATCAAACAAAAGATATTAAAAAATTTATAATCTGAAAAATATATGTTAAAATTATTTTTTATTTTTATTTTTATATATTAAAAACATAACAATTTGATTGCAATTGAAATATTTTTATCAAATAACAATTAAATAGTCAATTTAAAAAATTTTATTAGAAAGCTCATATTTGTTCATTAACTATATTTTCCTATTTTTATGTACATGTATTTTAGCAGATATTTTTATATTATTTTTTTAATATTTAAGATTATCATAATTCGAATCCTAATTATTGAAATTAAGAGTTTAATATTTTACAAATAGTCTACGCAGTTGCTAATTATTTTTAGATTATATTTAATGCTAAATTATAAACATAAAAAGCTGTATAATATAAAAATAAAATTAAGGTTAGGTGATACTAATTTAAGGATAGGTGAAATTTATTTAAATAAAGTAATAAAATTAATAAATTATTTTTATAAAAATATATTAATTATTTTTATTTTATAAAAATAAAATCCAAACTTACTTTCTTAAATTCACATTTTCAAATGTAAAAATATTGTTTCTTGATTGGACAATCATTTATTTTAAAATAAGTTATTTTAATTTTTTATGAATTTATCAAACAAAAGACATTAAAATTTTTATAATATTAGAAATATATGTTAAAAATAATTTTAAATTTTATTTTTATATATTAAAAACCTAATATATTGATTGAAATTGGCATATTTATTTATGTCAAATAATAATTAAATGATCAATTTAAAAAATTTTATTACAAAGCTCATATTTGTTCATTAACTATATTTTCCTATTTCTATGTATATGTATTTTAATAGATATTTTTTTTTTTTTTTTTTAGTATTTGAGATTATCAAAATTCAAAACCTAATCACTGAAACTAAAAGTTCAACATTTTACTAATAGTCTTGCTAGTTATTTTTAGATTATATTTAATGCTAAATTATAAATATAAAAAGACTAATATAAAAATAAAATTAAGGTTAGGTGATACTAATTTAAGGATAGGTGAAATTTATTTAAATAAAGTAATAAAATTAATTTTTTTATAAAAATCTATTAATTATTTTTATTTTATAAAATTAAAATCCAAACTCACTTTCTTAATTTCTCATTTTCAAATGTAAAAATATTGTTTCTTGATTGGACAACCATTTATTTTAAAATAAGTTATTTTAATTTTTTATGAATTTATCAAACAAAAGGCATTAAAAAATTTATAATATGAGAAATATATGTTAAAATTAAGTTTAAAATTTATTTTTATATATTAAAAACTTAATAATTTGATTGCAATTGGCATATTTATTTATGTCAAATAATAATTAAATAATCAATTTAAAAAATATTATTAGAAAGCTTCTATTTGTTCATTAACTATATTTTCCTATTTTTATATACATGTATTTTAATAGAATATTTTTATATTATTTTTTTTTAGTATTTGAGATTATTAGAATTCGAATATTAATCATTGAAATTAAGAGTTCAGCATTTTACCGATAGTCTACGTAGTTGCTAGTTTTTTTTAGATTATATTTATGCTAAATTATAGATATAAAAGGTTGCATCATATAAAAATAAAATTAAGGTTAGGTGATACTAATTTAACGATAAGTGAAATTTATTTTAATAAAGTAAAAAAATAATAAATTAGTTTTATAAAAATATATTAATTATTTTCATGATTATATAGTTTCCAAATATTATAAACTTTTGTTGGAATATCAAATAATTAACAGGTAATAAGTTTTTAAAATATTTTTTATATGGATTAATTAATTGGAAGTAATTCAAATTATTTTCTCACATGCTAAAAGGTCTTCCATTTAATGTAGTATTGTAATATTGGAAAGACAATATAAAAAATTTTAATTTGGTTTTTTAATAATAATTTAAATTTAAATTCATTTTATTATCTTATATCTTATATAAAAGATAAAGTTTTTAATAAAAAAAGAAAATTATCCAATGTGAATGGTCTATATTATTGACATGTAGAAAGTCTTAAAAAATGTCATATTTCCTCTAATAAATAAATTTTATTTTATTTGATACATTTTTAATTTAAAAACTAATTAAAAAAACTAAATTAACTATTTTTTTATTAATTACCTTAAATTACTCTTATTAAATTCATATGAAAGGTATTAAAATTTTGATTGCCATTATTCATAAATAAAATAATTTTATGTCTTTTTTTCAATTATAAATATTCAACTCTTGAATTATATTTATTAAAATATATACTTTCCAATTTTTTAAAAAATATAACCTATTAGCTCCACCTTTTAAGTTATACATATGTATATATATTTAATATTTTGATTTTAAAATTATCAATAGATAATCAAATCCATTAAAATTAATTTTAGTATGTCAAATGAAATTAATTTTATTATTATTATTACACTAATTTCAAGATATCTTTTTTCATTTCTCTCAACCATATTGAATTCACATTATACTTGACTATTTTAATTGTCTAAGTATAAATTATTCTCAATTTAAAATACAACTAGCTTTGTAGCCCAAGCAATGCACAGATTATTTTTATATATAATCATACACACAAATAAATATTTTTAATAAAATAATATAAAATTTACATATGTATATATATATATATATATTCAATTTTACTTATTTAAAAAAACAAAACTTTTGTCAATGAGACCTTTTCTTAATTAGTGGTAAGGAAAAGAGATCTTGAAACCTTGAGATCCAAGGTTCAAATCTTTTCATAAATGAGTTTGATTAAAATTTATATTGGATTGGTTTAGTTATGTCCTAATATAAATATTGATTGATTTATTTGTTTAATTTAATTTAATAATTTTCTAATATGAATGTAATATTTGAATAATATTGTTGTTAAAGAAAAAGAAAGCTGAATTTTGCTTTAACTCAAAGTTCTTCATCAATTTTACATTATTTATATTTATTCTAGTTAAACACAAGTTAATTTTATTTAAGAAAACAATAAATTTATATGTTATGATTATAAGAGTAATGTAGATATATTTTGGTGCAATTCCAATAATATCTTTCAATAATATTTTAGCAAATTTGATTTATAGAAAATGTAAATATAATGTTTTCTTTTGACTTTTCTAGGAAAAAATTAAAAGAAAAAATTGATTCTAGTAAATGATTATACGTATTTTTTCAAATAATTTCGATTTATTGTTATTCATGATAACCTATTAATAAAGTAAATCAAGTTCAAAAGGAATAAAAATCTATAATCATAATTCATTATATATGTGCTCTGTGAGACTTGAGTTTAAATTTTGGATGTTGATGGTTTAGCAAATAATCACATAGCAAATTTGGCAACTATAATAAAAATTTCAATTAAAATCAATGTAATTCTCTATCTTAATATAGAAGAAAATTAATAATGTAAAATGTAAAAGCAAGTCATTTGGCACAACAACATTCTACTATGAAATTATAAAAAATTTGTATATAATGCCAATTTGCTAAAGATTGGTTGCCTATTAAATGCAAATACCAAATCGTATATGGTGATAAGAGATACCTTAATCCTTACATTTAAAAAAACTTGTTAAATAACATGGAATATATCAATAACATTTTTTTCTCTTGTATATTAATTACTATATTTGCATATATAATAACAAAAAATTAAAGTTTAATCCCTATAGTAGAATGAAATTACTTATCATATAAGATATTATGAGAAAAATAAGGTTTCCACCCTATTTGTTTTACTTTTATTTTGATTTGTAAAAGAAAAACAACAACTATAAAATCTAGGATATTTTTTCTATAAAAAATAATTATTATATGATAATTTAATAATTATACGTTTTTAATTTAGCAAATAAGATTATGTATAATACCATAATACCATTATTATAAAACACTAGTAGGAAAATCATGGGATCAATAAACAATATCACATACGAATGGAGAAAAAAAAAAGGTCAAAACAACTTACTAAAAAAATCTAGAAAGAAAATGGGACACAAAAAGGCAAAAAAAAAAAAGTTAAATAATTACATTCATGGAAATTATTACACCATTCTTAAGATACAAATATCCTATTCCATAAGATGCACAACAAGAGAAGAAAAAGAATTACAAAGACATAATAAAAATTATGTCAATTTATAGGAGATTAAAAGATAAAAAGGTGATTAAATATATAACAAATGAAGCTTTAATAACATATGGTAGCTACAAGTTAAATGTAGATATTTAAAATACTTGGCATTGACAAAATTCACTGACCACACAAATCTGTAAATGTCAAAACATATGAAACAAAGCAAATAAACTAACGTTGAAAAAGAAAAAAATATATACTTAATTTAGTCAAAAAAAATTTCTAAATAAATAAAATTTATATGAAATTAAATTAAAATAATTAAATGCAGTAGACATAAAGATTTTTCAATATTATTCACATGTCAATAATACAGACTATCTACATTAAAAAAAATTTCATTTTTGCCAAAGGCTTTGGCTTTTATATATTTATATAAAATATAAGATTACTCTTGATTTAGTTTTTAATTTATTTTAGTCAATTAATCATTTAAAAATAAATAAGATTCGTTCCTTATGTATTAATAAGAATCATTGAATGTGTTATAATAATAAAAATAAGATATTTGAAGTTAAATTTGTTTTATTAATAAATTTTAAATTTTAAATTTGAAAAGCATAATTAATTATGAACACATGCACCAATAGATTGATACAATTCGATGTGAAAATTAATAATATGTAAAAAAAAATTATTAAAAATATTATTTATAATTCAAATTTGATTGATACTTATTCAGTTATAAAAATTGTCATATTTTTACTAAAATATATATTTAATAAATAATCAATTTTTATTAAAATTTTTTCAAAATTTGTACACTTGATCTATATGATGAGATCTTTTGATTTATTGATTTTGATCTTTGATTTTAGTTTTTATTTACTCATTTTTATAAAAAATTTCATGAACTTCACTTATGAAACTTCATGTAAATCTTTTTCTTGTTTTTATATATTTATATAAGATACACTAATTTCAAAACCTCTTTTTTCATTTCTCTTAAGCACATTAAAATCACCTTATACTTGACTATTTTAATTGTCTAAATATAAATTACTCTTAATTTAAAATACTATTATTCTTGATTTGGTTTTTAATTTATTTTAGTCAATTAATTATTTAAAAATAAATAAGATTCTTTCCTTATGTATTAATAAGAACCACTAAATGTGTTATAATAATGGAAAAATTAAATTCTAAATTTTAAATTTGAAAGCATAATTAATTATTAACATATGCTAATTTTTTAGATTATTCACATGTAAAAAATATAAACTATTCACATTAAATTATTATTTTTTTGTTAGAAGCTTTGATTTTTATATATTTATAGAAGAAGTCTCATCTAATTGTATCAAGACAAACTGGATATGGAAAAAGCTGATTGAGAAATTTCAAACCCATAAAAATACTTTTCACACCTTGTTAATAATTACATCTATAATTTAAAATACATGATTAACATTTTCACTCATTGCATCCTTGTTCCAACATTTCACATTTTCATTCATATCATTTACACTCATCATTTCTTCTCTTTTGTTAATTCTCTCAAATTTTCCACTACAGTCTACCTAAATTCAATCCAAAACCAACAAACAAACCCCTAAATCACAAATTTTTTACTATTTGATTTATTGAATGTAAGATTTAATTATTGTTGTTGATTTATTTAATTTATTTTTTAGGATTTACAATCTTGGTTTGTGATTTTTTATTTTTGTGATATCATGTATTACGGAAATCCATTTTTGTATGTCTTTTAAAGCTTACGAAAATAGATTTCTACAAAAATAAATTTTCATAAGCTTTAAATGATTTATGGATTTGAATATCTGCAATGCAAAAGTCCATTTTCATAATCTAAAAATTAAAATGAATGCTGTTTATGCTATGTGGGTTTGCTGAATTATTACATTTTGTACTATGTTACAAACAGATATGACTCGAATGAAAGGTGAAAGTATTTGAACAAGAGGTAATGGCGTTGACAGAGGTGATGGACTCATCGTAGCAAATCCTGATCCAAATCAGAAACATTCGATTGCCTCTTAGATAAGACGTCCAATCCAAGAATATGATAGTGAGCCGGTTGATGAGCATATAGAAGATGATATTCCACTCATTGTGAGATATTTTGTGCTAGTGGAAACAAAACAAGAAAAAGTACCCTGTTCTCTCGAGGATGGCTTCCGACATTTTGTCAGTACCATTTTCTACTGTTGCTATGATTCTATTTTTGACACTCAGAGAAAAAAAGATGGATAATTACTACAGTTCATTACGTCCAATGACACTTGAAGCTCTGATTTATGCAACGAATTGGCTCCAGTATGAATCATCATAGAGTTCCAATGCAATTATGAAGATGGAATTCTAGGTACAGATTTCGTTTTCATCTTTTACAGAATATAGTAGTCCCGAAGTCTTTAGGTGTATTGGGGGGAAAGACTTAAACGAACTTCTTTAAATGAAGTTCACGAAGTTTTTAATTAAAAATGATTATATAAAAATTAAAATTAATAAATTAAAAGATTTTATTATATAATTTATGTATGTAAATTTTAAAAAAAATTTTAATAAATTTTGATATATATTTTTAGATAAATATTTTTAATAAAAATATTAATAAAATTTTTACTGTTAAATAAATATCGATCAAATTTAAATTATAAATAATATTTTAATAATATTTTTTATATATTATTGATATTCATATTAATTTTTATCAATTTATCCATTTATATTTTTTATTAAATTATTTTTAAGAAAAAAATTCATAAACTTCATCTAAAATACCTTATATAAGTTTTCTCCTCGTATTAATGTCTTATGTCATTATAAATCCTCTATTCTCTCTCTAATTTTCATCCTACGCATGGAGTTAGACATCATTCTTGGATTCAATGAATCAATTCCATAGATTCACATAATTTTCTATTATGGTTTTTCTTTTTCTTTTTTTTTGAGCTCCTTCCTTTTGATGATATCTTTCATCATACAGCAGATCAATTGATGTACGTAACTTGCTAAATTGGTTGATTAATTTGGCAGCCTGGGCACAGCTGTCTTGAAACTTTTTTCAGTTGTCCTGCCATTGCCAAGCTTGTTATTCTGCCTTTGCTACAAGAAACTTGAACGTCTTGATCTGAATGGTCATTATTATTATTATCATGCAAAAGAGATGTAGTAAAGCTGAAGGGTGGGATGTATCGGATTGACAAGGTTCCATCTCCATGGATGGTAAAATAATGAGTTTATTTTCAGATTCTGATCATGTTATCATGAATTTATGAGGCTAGTCTAGTCTCTACAGTATATATAAAATAATATATATATATATATAATATACATATATCCAGATGCTAAAGTTTAAGTAAAAAGGTTTTTTTCCACTAATTTTCACTATTTTGTTTAATGATGAGTATTACATTTTTAATTAAATTTTAAAAATCAATATTTATTCAAATTATTTTTTAATTAATTTTCTATTTATCATCATTTAATTTAAAATCATTAAATTTTCAACTATAAATTTAGTTTAAAATGTATTATTCGGAGTAAAACTCTTCATTATTTTTTAAGTAACAGAGATAATTTTTTCTCAGAATTTTCAATAAGCTTGTAGAAATTTTAACTTAGCTAGCACATATATAAAACTATAATTTATATATAAAAGTATATTTTTCATTTAAAAACCGAACGATAAGTGTATATATTTTTTATTCAAAATTTTCTGAATAAAAGAATAAATAATTATTTTTGTTCTTTAAACTGGGGTTATGCATGCATGAGCAAAACACTGACATGATTCAATTTTGGGTATATTTGATAATATTTTTCTTGGTTATGGCTAGAAGAAGATATGGTTTTTTCGATTTTCCAACAAGCACCAGTGGTCTAGTGGTAGAATAGTACCCTGCCACGGTACAGACCCGGGTTCGATTCCCGGCTGGTGCATTCCTGGAGCTGTGATGATAGTTGCGCTCTCGTGATGGAAGGGTCCTTCACAGTCGTCCGATCTACAGACGTCAACAGCGCTACTGAGCTTCCTTACTTTTCAATTTTCTTTTTCGAAGTTGAAAATTGAAATGCAAAGCAAACCCAGTGCAACTCCTTTGCCAATTTGAGCAGCCCATTTTTGTCAAACAAATCCACTGCTCAACCATAAAAGCAGGCTTATCAAAACGACTCATTTCCCAAAACAAAATTATATCCTTTTGTTGCATGGACCATGCACTTAAAATGTTCAATAAAATTGCTGAACCAAAAACCATCTTCCTTCGGAACACAATGATCAAAGGTTTTTCCAGGACTGATTGTTTCAAATAAATTGATAATTTGTGTATATATGTCATGTATGAAACATATATAAAATATAAAAATTATTATATCTCAATTATACTGACAAGCCAACACTAAACATACTTTTTAGTTTTGGTCTAATTTATATATATATATATATTTTCGTATTGTTTTTATGTCACATCATTATATCATATCTAAAATTACTAAGTTCAGTTTCCAAAAGCCTAGTATCAAAATTTCCCTTTAACTAATGTAACTCCTACATGACTAGTACGATAGGACCAGAACGAGAGCTGCAAGCTCTACAGTAGTTATTCTTTTACTGTATCACTGTTCTATTTAAGGGAGACCTAAACTCTTACTATGCGGTAGACTTAGAGTTTATCTTCACATTCACATATCTGTTGTTTCATTGAGAAGGAAGACCAGAAGAGTTCATTAAGAAATGGACTATTTCTAATCTTGTATTCAACATACATTACTAACGATAAAATCATTTTTGTACTTAATAATATTCTACCTATTCTTAAATTGCTTTCATAAGTAACATACGCTTCAAAGTTCGGACTTTGAGGAAGTCTTCTGGAATGTAATGGTTACATGGATTGCCAGGCCACAAGCTACTTGAAAATTACTAGTTCTGGCTGAAAAGTAGCTATTGATGGCAAACTGATTGAATTCAACTTGACCCTGGATCAAGTACAGGAAGCCTGCAATGTAGACTGATTGATTTATCAGTTTGACGTGTACCAGGAATGAAGAACTGAAATATCACCGTCAAACAAGCACCCTGCGGAGCAATCCCATAAAAAGTACAGTCAGGCTTTGCCAGGTGACACTGAAGGCTCCTAGAAAAGTGTCTTATACTCACTTGAACACTCTGAGCGTCTCCCCTCGAGATTGCCCTTTCCGACCGAGTCTGAGCGCTCAGATTTCTTTCCTCTGTTGGAGCTTCAGCTTGTTCTCCAATAACCAACAATTTACGAAATTCAGCACCAAGTGTGATCAAAGTTGTTGAGATTTGCACATGTAGATCTCCATACTTGCTTATAGAGACATTTAGCAAATCACCAACATGCTTCATCCGTTCCACAAAGTTCTGCAATTGATTCAAATCTGGAACTTGAACCAGAGTCGGAGGTAGTTCTTGTGCCACATCAAGTGCAGTTTGCAGCTCAAGCACTTCAGCCCTAGATAAAGGTTTTGATATTGGTACATCCTGAATGACAGCAGATTTATAACCCTTGGTTTCAAAGGTAAGAAAAGGCATTGGCTGAGTACAATTGGGAGGCAACTTCTTAACCAATTTAATTTGGAGACGGTTGGCAGAAGGCCCATTGCCAAATTCAGTACATATACTTACACTACTCCGAACAGCACGAAGCAGAAGGGATACATCAATTGTGAAGGCAATGCGGTCCTCATTCTGACTTGAGATCCGATAGTCATCAAAGAGAGCTTCCTTGCGAAACTGAGCAATGCACTGAACCCCATCGCCATTCAAAAGGTTGTGGAGGAAGATTGCATGGTCTCTGGTAAGAAATAAATGACATATCTTGCCCATTTTGTCTAGGGCTGGTAGAAACCGCCTTTCTAAGAGATTCACACCATGTTCAGATAGAAATGCTTTAAACTTCATTATCAGCCTTCCTCTTTTCTGGCTACTCCAGGTGTAATCCAAGGCATTACCATGGGTGAGAGCAAAGGGGAAAAAATCAGTTAGTACTTAGTGCTGCGCCTTCAAGCAGATATAAATACCTTTCATATTATTGAAATAGAGTGATAAATGGTTGCTTTTATGATGATTATCATATCAGCTTAAATCTCATAATTATAATTAGCTAAACCCTCAAAGCGTAAAGATTGCAGAAAGATTTCAAACACAGTTCAAAGGAAATACAAAGTTTAAAAAAACTTGTTAAATAACATGGAATATATCAATAACATTTTTTTCTCTTGTATATTAATTACTATATTTGCATATATAATAACAAAAAATTAAAGTTTAATCCCTATAGTAGAATGAAATTACTTATCATATAAGATATTATGAGAAAAATAAGGTTTCCACCCTATTTGTTTTACTTTTATTTTGATTTGTAAAAGAAAAACAACAACTATAAAATCTAGGATTTTTTTCCTATAAAACATAAATATTATATGATAATTTAATAATTATATGTTTTTAATTTAGCAAATAAGATTATGTATAATACCATAATACCATTATTATAAAACACTAACAGGAAAATCATGGGACCAATAAACAATATCACATATGAATGGAGAAAAAAAAAAGGTCAAAACAACTTACTAAAAAAATCTAGAAAGAAAATGGGACATAAAAAGGCAAAAAAAAAAAAGTTAAATAATTACATTCATCGAAATTATTACACCATTCTTAAGATAGTATTGATAATGTTTTTTTTTTTTTTTTTCTGATATGTAATGAAGATTTTAATCATAAATTTTTTGTGTATTGACCTAGTTTCCTAGACTAAAGATCCTATTGGAGGAAAATTTTCAAATGTTATTACATTAATTTTTTATTGATGAACGAAATCTACAAACTCGTAGTCATAATACCATTCATACCTTAAAGGCTCGAAAATATATATTTTTCACATCTTTATCATTAGAAAATTAAGTTATCAATTGAACAATACAACTTAGGAAAAGATGAATTTGTATATTTTAGACTTCAATTAGCAAATCAAATATACAAATATCCTATTCCATAAGATGCACAACAAGAGAAGAAAAAGAATTACAAAGACATAATAAAAATTATGTCAATTTATAGGAGATTAATAGATAAAAAAAAGTGATTAAATATATAACAAATGAAGCTTTAATAACATATGGTAGCTACAAATTAAATGTAGATATTTAAAATACTTGGCATTGACAAAATTCACTGACCACACGCAAATCTGTAAATGTCAAAACATATGAAACAAAGCAAATAAATTGACGTTGAAAAAGAAAAAAATATATACTTAATTTAGTCAAAAAAATTTCTAAATAAATAAAATTTACATGAAATTAAATTAAAATAATTAAATGCAGTAGACATAAAGATTTTTCAATATTGTCATAACGTCTAGATCCGGGGATCTATCGCTAGACATTGACTTTTAGGGAGTCGCCACCAATCTTTTTTTATCTAGGTGCGATTGGCCACCTAAGGAATCTGTCCTTTCAGGGAACACCTAAGCTTAAGGGTCCCTAAAAGAATAGGTTCAGGTCTACTAACCAAAACAGAGTTCGGGAGTTCGGTTACGTGTGAGAAAGGTTATATCACCCTTACAACGCCCATCAAAAGATGGTACCAGCTTAAATTTGTGTTATCCAAAAAGCCTTAAAATTTTACCAAGTAGTTAATTGTTGGAAATTATTCTCAATTGACTCTAATACTTTTAGCAGAAAATTGAGAAAATTCCCTCACCTCAAGAGCATGCAAGAAAAAACTACTGTTTCACTTGCAGAGGTTCCGTCGTCGGATTATTTAAAGAAAAAATCAAAATAAAAGGGAAGAAAATGATGTTTGTTCTTGTGCAGGAAAAATTGATACTTTCAACTTTTCCCCAAAAATATTTTTTTGGAAATTTATTTTCAAGGAAAATTGATACTTTCAACTTTTCCCCAAAAATACTTTTTTGAAAATTTATTTTTAAGGAAAATTGATACTTTCAACTTTTCCCCAAAAATATTTTTTTGGAAATTTTGATTTTCAAGGAAAATTGATACTTTCAACTTTTCCTCAAAAAACTTTTTTGAAATTTATTTTTTTAAGAAAAATTGATACTTTCAACTTTTCCCTAAAAATTTTTTTTTTGAAAATTTTGATTTTTATTTAAAGAAAATAGAATAATAAAAAAAATAAATAAAAATAAAAAATAAAGAAAAGTAAAACAAAAATGAAAATAAAATAAAGATAAAAAGAATATTAAATAAACCTAATCTAATAAATAAATAAAAAACAAATAAACAAATAAATGAAAAAAAAACAAAAAAAAAAAAACCTGGAGCGGCTCAGATCGCGACTCGGCTCAAGGAAGAAAAAACGGCTCGGAGAAGCGGCTTGGGGGCTCGGCTCGGCTCGGCTTGGCTCGGATGGGGGAAGGCACGCGCGGGTCAGGAAGCGGCTCGACGCTCGGGTCGAGTCGGATCTCGACAAAACGCCCGGATCCTCTGGGTTACTTAAGGCCAAAACGATGTCATTTTGAGAGGGTATAAAAGGCACTTCCTTCTGTTTTTTGGTAGAACGCTCCTCCCCTCTCTCTCTCTTCTTCTTTTTTTCTCTCCCTTCTCTCTAAAAGCTGAAGAACACCGGTAGAATTTTCATCGGATTTTGGAAAATGTCACCGGAATCTGGAAATTTCGTCGGAGGTTCACCGAAAGATCACCGGTTTCTGGGATTCTTCGCTGAAAACTGGGCAGGTCGCCAGAAACTTCAAGGTTGGCCGAAATTTTCGTCAAAAAATTCAAACTTCGTCGAAAAATTCAACCGAAATCTGGAATTTTCCAGAAATTCTCAGAAAAAAAAATTTTGAAAAATTTCCAAAATTTTTTTGATGATTCCTAGAACTTTCCTAAACATTTTCTTAGCCTTCTATACTCTTCTCTATGCCTTTTCCTCTCAAATAAGTAGCTCTGGCTCACTGTTTTCTCTGTGTGTTCTTCATCTGTTCCAGGAGGGTCCCTTTTATAGGGATTGATCAGGAGTTTCTAATCAATCCCAATTCCTCTTTGGACGGGGATTCAATCTTTGAATCAAATCTGGACTCTTCTGATTGAATCCCCATTCCCAATAGGATTCTTCAGCTTCAATCTCAACCTTCCAAAAAAGAAAAAAAAATAATAATCGGATAATAAAAAAAATGAGATAAATGAATAAAATTGACAGATAATTAAAAAATAAATAAATAAAATAAAATAAGATAAATCCAAAAATATATTACAAATAATAATAATAATAATATAATAATAAATATTCTATATAAATAAAATACATATAAATCTATTCTAAATAAAAAAATAAATAAATACAGATATACATATATTAATACATAATAATAATAATAAAATACATAAAAATACAAAGAAAGAAAAAATAATAATAATAAAAATAATACCAGATAGAAATTGAAATGGTTTTACCCATTTGGGTCAGGCCCAATTGATCTGGGCCTGGACCCAATTGGGTGTCTACAGCTGCCCCTCTTTGCACATTTTCTGTGAAACAAAAATTGTGCAAAGACGTAGACACCCAATCAAGACTCAACTCAACATTGTCATTTTTTATTTTTTCTTTGTTTTTTTTGTGTTTTTTTGTGTTTTTTTTATTTTTTATGTTTTTTTTATTTTTTACCAAAGCTCCTCTAAACAAAAGCTCAACGACTTTGAAAAACATAAATTGCTCCTCTAAACAGAGGCACCACGACTTTGAAAAATAAATTGCTCCTCTAAACAGAGGCACCACGACTTTGAAAAGTAAATTGCTCCTCTAAACAGAGGCACCACGACTTTGAAAGTAAATTGCTCCTCTAAACAGAGGCAGCACGACTTTGAAAAAGTAAATTGTTCCTCTAAACAGAGGCACCACGACTTTTGGAAAATAAATTGCTCCTCTAAACAGAGGCAGCACGACTTTGGAAAAGTAAATTGCTCCTCTAAACAGAGGCACCACGACTTTTGGAAAAGTAAATTGCTCCTCTAAACAGAGGTACCACGACTTTAGAAAATAAATTGCTCCTCTAAACAGAGGCACCATAACTTTTGAAAAGTAAATTGCTCCTCTATACAGAGGCAACGAAACTTTGAAAAGTAAATTGCTCCTTGACAATCATGTCCAAAGGAGTTGAAAGTTGTGTTTGAAGGAATTTCAGGAGATTATGCCCAAAGGTCTTATAAATCAACCCTGATACCAAAAGACATCCTATTTCAAGGATTAGGAACTTACCTGACAAGTTTTTTTTTTCAATTTTGCAAAATATCTTCACCTCTGTCTTCTCCATGTGGGATGTTGAAACACCCTTGCTTCTTGAATTTATACACTATACTTTCCTGAAAGTAGTGTATGCTGTGCAAATGCATATGAATTTCAATGCATGCTATGCAAATGTTGGCCAATTAATTCTTGTTCAATGTATGGTACTCAAGTTTCTCAAGTTTTCTCTTGGGCATCAAGCCCTTTGATTCTTCAGAGATCCGATTACACTGCTCTTCTAAGATCGAACCAATGTAGCTCTCAATTGTCTTTTCCACTCACATTCTTCCTTGTTCAGTTTCTCAATGCTTTGGAATAAGCTTCATCAATCGATCATCACTTGACCATCATTCAATGAATTTCTCAGCACTAACAAATTTCAAAACAAATTTCATCCACCATCACTGGGTTATTACTCATAGGTGTCTCAGCATTAACCATTCCAAAATAAACTTTGTCCACTGATTGTTCTCATCATTCACTCATAACTTTCTAGTCATATCAACCAATTCATCCTTGTACTCATCACTTGGTTATACCACTTTTCAAAATTTACCCCATCATATTCTTTATTTGGTCACATCATATATCCTTCCAAATCGTCTTTTTTAGGTCTCTATCATTTCTTCATTTTGTCTCTACCATCATCTTAGATTTCTTTTCAAATGAATACAAGACTCTTTTAAACACATATTCATTCATTCATTATCATTTCAAATCCTGACAAATACAATGCAATCAAGCATTTTCTCAATTCATTCTAAGGATGAAACAATAAGAGAACACAAGGTGAATCAA